TGCAGGTGATGCTTGGGATCATCATGGGGGTCCAACCCAAGATTTGCACGACTCTGACTTTGAATGTTACAGTCATTGTGGCATTGAATTCCAGGGTGGAAACATCAGTTTAATTGTTTTAGTGACCAGAAAACAAATTTTAATATGCGTCGGCTTACCCAAAATGAAAGGTTACGTGCCCTTGGCATGCTACAGATCGGCACAACACAGGCGGTTGTGGCGCGGACGATGAATGTTTCTCAGTCTGTCATAAGCAGGCTATGGTCCAGATACCGTGATACACAATCTGTACAGGACAGACCACGCTCAGGTCGACCAAGGGCGACAACTCAAGCCCAGGATCGATTTATCCGTACCTTGGCCTTGAGAAATCGTGTCATCACAGCAAATCAGATCAGCGCTCGTCTTCAAACAGACACTGGTGTGAGAGTGAGTGGCCAGACGATTCGGAATCGACTGCATAGGGGTCACCTTCGCGCCTGACGTCCTCGCGTGATCCCTTGTTTGAGAGATCATCACATTCAGGCAAGACGTCGTTGGTGTAGGGATCGTCAACACTGGGATAATCGACGCTGGAGCAATGTGATGTTTTCAGATGAGTCAAGGTTCACTGTTGATTTTTTGGACAGACGTAGGAGGGTGTGGCGTCGTCGAAACGAGCGGTTCCAAGACGTTAACGTCATCAGACATGATCGATTTGGGGGTGGTTCTGTTATGGTGTGGGGAGGCATCACTGTTGCTGGAAGAACGGCTTTACATGTTGTTGCAGGGCGTGTTACAGGCCAGTACTACCGGGACAACATCTTGGCAGTCCATGTTGTGCCGTTCGCACGACGTCATGGCCGCCGTTTCATCTTCCAGGATGACAACGCAAGATGTCACAGGGCCAGGATCGTTACAGGTTACCTCCAACAACAGAACATCACCACATTACCTTGGCCAGCACTGAGTCCCGACCTCTCCCCCATCGAGCATGTCTGGGACATGCTTGGACAGAGGTTACGTCAACGTCAACAACGTCCTACCAATGTCCAAGAACTTGCTGCTGCGTTGCAACAGGAATGGGACAATCTGGACCAAAATGACTTTAGACGTCTCATTAGGAGTATGCCACGTCGGATCAATGCTTGTTTGGCAAACAGAGGAGGATTTACCCGTTACTGACTTGGTTGTGATGCTGTGGTAACTTTGCTGTTTGACCCCGGGTATCATTTTACCCTTATAATGGTCAGTCTGTGCCTTACTTAGTCTAACGATCATTTGGAATAAATCGATGAATGTGAACTTCATTTCATTTTGTCATTTGTTTCTTCGTCAGTTTCATTAGGTGACTTTAATAACACTTAAAAATCAAATATCCCCTACTTTTTTTGAATAGTATATATATGGTACGCAATACAAAAGACACATAAGAGAAACGTAGATCATAGCGAGCACACACGCCTGTCTAAAGACATGTCTTTAATTATACAAAGACCTGCGTAAAACACACGGTCGGATGATAAATCGCACAGTAAAACAGTTTTACTTCCCAAATTTTGATTTAACACGTACGTGTCAGATAAAGCCTGTTGGTCCTTCATTATACCCCTTTTGATGTAGTTATCGCAACTAGCGAGAAAACAGGCCAATTAAACAATACACAACATTGACATTCATTTTTTACCGGTCGGTTTATTAACACACCTCTACTGAAAACACACTGTCGCAGTTTTTCACCCCCAGTGTTAATTAATTCACCTCTCATACAGTTTTTCACCCTTGTTAATTAACACACCTTATTTACAGTTTTAACGCGGTAATAATTAATTAACACACCTTATTTACAGTTTTAACGCGGTAATTAATTTTCTTTCGATACACGTACAAATAACAACCATGACTGAGAATTATATGGTGGCTGTGCACAGATTCACCCTTTAGCAGTTCTCAGTGAGACTAGTCACCCAGCCCATAATTTCTGGGTAAACACCCACCCATCACCCTCACAGGCCCCCATTATCGATATAAATATTGGGCTTGTGTGTTCACATATGGTCTTGCGCCTCATACAGCATCAGTAGTCAACACGCATCTGAAATACTCTTATCAATTGCAGACATTTGACAGGAAGGGAGATAACTCTCTATTATGTTAATGGATTTCCAAATTCTGTACAAGATAAATATTACCCTAACCGAGGGTATTAGGGTAGAATTTGTCTTACACACTGACATCAATGTTAAATCTATCCTAATTGTTTTCTCCTATAAGACAATGGTATAGTCTATATCTGCCCTGCGACTGATATGACAAAATTAAGAAAACTAGTCGTAAGTTGCACGTGCATTACATTTTAGTAACCACATGTTCACAAACTGGCATTCATTTTGTGCAATGTTGTGAAACGATTCGGACGACGAACTGATCCCCGCAAGTCAGTTTGTAGAAAATATGGCTGAAAATAGAGTGACCCACAGTCTCAATTATCTGTACTATATAAACTGACCTGTTTTAACAGCATGTTGTCACGCGGATCAAAAGTTCGTTTATGAGAAAAGTGCTCTCACGGGCTCGCTCGTGCACTGTAAGCAGCAAACAGTCGCCCAAAATAGACATTCACGTGACAATATTCATTCACTTGTTTATCAATGAAGTCATGTAAAAAAATTATTCTTTACTCGTTGGACTTTTAAAAATAAGAAGTTAAGAACTAGTTTAAAATTTTGGCTAAAACTCGGAGATTTAATTTTTAAGTTTGTTGATTGTAACCAATGACGTATATATTGTAACGGTTCTCGCTTCAGAGTCAACTCATGTAGTTTCGCCCTTTTTCTATCTTTTAAATCCACTCTCGTGGCAACATACCGACACTGCAAGACTGTGAAAGTTACTTTTATTTAACCGTAAAACTCTGTTGTTAGTGGGCGCTTTAGTTACTTTAGAAGTTACATTGTTGCTAGCTCTAAATACGCAGAAAAAATTTGAGACTGGAAATTAATTGAACGAAATTATTTTCCCTAGTCTCGATTAACCAGACGTGTATGATTAAAATAAAATTACGGTACTGGGCCCTTATTCACGAAAACTTAATCTAAGAAACAAGCATGCAGTTCCACCTTGAAATGGGTTCAATTGATTTACGGTTTATTCTATAATTTATAACACGGTTTAGAGCACAATGTGTAGGAGTCGCATTTTTGACTTCTAAGTAGATTCTTATACGGAATCCCGGATGCAATGCTAGACATTTGGACCACTGCTGCCGAACCGATTTGAAAATGCTTAAGGCTTTTTTTCTTTGCGCATGTCGTGTGCTCCTCTGTTTTTGATGTGTATGATTTTTATATTTGTGATAATTATTTGAAACAAAATAGGATTATCATAAATGATATTTAACATCTACAATATGAGTACGGTAAGCACTCTCTACGTACTGCGTTTGTAAACCACGAAATTCACCCCTTATTAGAAAGTTTCAACTATAGTCTATTGCATGTAAACGTTAAAAAAATCAGCTCAAAATACAGACGACATCTCTCTCTCTCTCTCTCTCTCTCTCTCTAACTAAGGGCTGCGCACGCGTACAAATGTTAAATTCAATCGTTAATTGTACGTACGTAAAAAAAACGAAGAAAGCCGACTGCGGAAATTAAGAATTCGTTTTCCAGAACAAAATTTGAAACTTTGATGTGACCAAGAAACATAACTCTTTTTAATGAAAAAATCTACCGCTGTAACGCTACTTGGGCGATCAACTTTTCCATATAATTAGAAAGTCCCATTCAAATGGCCAAATCACACAAATATCCAACTTAGCAATAGTTTAATTGTTAATGAATGATGATTTTAATGGTAAGTCTTATCATATTTGTTTAAATAAGCCCCAAATATAGCTCGTTTATTTGATTTTTGTTATTTGCACGAACCACTCTACTGAAAAAGAAAACGTTGATTCTGACAAAGAATTATTTAAAGCTAGTCAAAGTGCAGAAAATATTTAACAAGGATTTAATGTACTTGGATATTTCGAATTGTGAGATACAAATGATAAACGATTTTCAATTTCGAGCTATGTATATGGGCCTGGCAAAGTTTGTCTTCCGAATCTTTGACAACATTTGTACAAAAAAGTGAATAAAATGTTAAAAGAAAGGGAGAGAGAGAGAGAGAGAAATGGGGTTTAACGTCCACTCGACACAAACTAGGATATTTCAGGACTAACATATGGTTTAATTTTATTTCAATAATTCGCTTGCGCGTAGGGGTCTTTAGCAGTGGGAGGAAACCGGAGGACCCGGAGAAAACCCACGAGGTTGGACAGGCGACCCTAATCCTTGCAACGTACAACCGGGGATTCGAAACCACGCCAGTTGACTCAATGGCAGACTTTATGGTACAGCGCGCACATGCTAACCATTCGGCCATCCAACCCCCCCTTAAAAGAAAGAATTTGTGTCCTCTTTCATTGCAGAGTGATGTAAACCTGTTGTGACGTCATCGTCCCTAGGGCCAAACACCCTCTGATGACGTCACAACAGGTTGATACGTTTTATAGCATCCCAATGTGTGTAAGTTCCCTTGTCCATTATGTTTTCTGCATTTTGGTTTGAATCGAAATTTAACCAATACCATATTCTTTGGTTGATTTCACCAATATTTAATTTTATGTCAACTTCACAATAAATTGTTAGTATAACTATAATATTTACTTGACAATTATCACAATTAGCATCTAGCACTAAATCAAATTTGTGCAAACATTTTGCTTTGAACTCTCGAGATTTGTGTTCCTGGTGTTATAAGCTTTCCAAAAATGTATAGTTTGTTTAGAAGGGAGGACTTTGTGTTTCTAAACAAGCTAGAAATTATGGATGGCTGCAGGTCTCTGGTCTATTATGGATTCTAATAGACCATTTTTCCTATTTATTGTAAGTAAAGCAAGACTCATTATTGCTTTGTGACAATATCTATAAATCATATTGATATTCAACATACAGAAAAAAACCTTGTTTACTAACCAATAAATGAATGGCCCAACTTTCCTAGCTGTCTTTTAAGTTTAACCTCATATTCATAACCTATAGCACTAGTTATTGATTAAGGTTTACAGTGGTTGTAGATATAATTTAACATTCCATAAGTCATATGTCATAAACCATTCAATTAGAAACAATCAACACTATAAACTAATACATTCAGTTATGCATTAAAATTAATTTAGAAGGGTTTGTGGTAGTTGAGTAGTTTGGGAATTGTACTCCCGAACACCAGCATGAGCATAGAAGAACCTACATGGTTTTTTCAAGCACAGTTCTCACTTGCCAGTTGTTTGGTAAAAATCAACAGAAATGCCATTGCCTGGGATTTATTATCTTTTCTCCCTTAAATAAATATATTATGTTTAAAAGGATACTGTTTAATGCTATCAGTTAGAGGTCCATAAAAATCATCACTGTATATACACTGAAAATAAATATATACATAATTGAAAGCCATACAGTATGGCACAAGCAAGACTGAACATACAAGCCATAATCTATTTTTCTATTTGACAGTTCAGCATAGCTGAACGGAAAAAAAACCTAAAAGTAAACTAAATGTACAGAGATCAAACATAATAAACAATGGAAGTTAAAAGAAATGAACATTCCTGAACGATCAGGATACCGACGCAGACCCTCAGTAGTAATACATTAAAGCTTAGTTTATTTGTACATGGTTGCCAAATAAAAAACAAACATTTTTTTGTTGGATAAAGAAATTAATGCAGATGTAAGAAAACAGGGATACAAACAAGGGTTCTGACCTTGGTGACTTCAGTCATCAATTAATTATAAATCTAATGGAAATTGGGAATAAGATAAAATATAGGTTGTCAGGCAACAAAACATATGCCCACAGCAGGTAAATCGTCCGAGCAGTTGACAAGGGTTATCGCATATTTATTCTTTGTAGGTAATGGACAGAGATGGACAGAGAACAAGCTACAAAAAATAATGTGATTTTTTGTACAATCAGGGGCCATAATCCAGGACGATATGGTCTAATATGCGCGAATATATCAAAAGGAATCGAGATCTTTGGGTTATGAGCATAAATTTCAAGTTTCATCATAATCGGATCAAAATTGTGACCTCTAGAGGATCCACAACCTTCGTATTACATACTTTTACACAATTTGCGTACAAAGAGTGGCCATTTTGTTGGGCAGTTTCATTCCAATTTTCCCGAAATTCGCATTCAACCTTCATTATGGTGGAATGGTGATATATTTAAATGATTTTTAAAATCAAAAAAAAAATTGTGACCTTTACAGATGCGATTTTTCGAACAATCAGGCGCCATAACCCAGGAAATTACGTTCGGATATGCGTGATTATCAAAAGGAACAAAGATCTTAGTGTGTAACGGTGATATATTCACACGTTTTTTTTTAAATCAGATAAAAATTGTGACCTCTAAATTTTGTACAATCGGATATGCGCAAATATCGAAAGGAATCAAGATCTGTGGGTTATAAACATGTATTTCAAGTTTCCTCAAAATCGGATCAAAATTGTGACCTCTATAGAGTCCACAAGCTTGATATACAAGATGTTTACACTATTTGCAAACGGGGGGCGGCCATTTTGTCCGACAGTTTTGGTCCGATTTTCGCGATATTCGAACTCAACCAACATTACGGTGTAAGGGTGATATATTATGGCGGGATTTAAGGGCCAAAACTAAATGTAAGTTGAAAGTGTTATTATACATCATAGAAAATACCTAATACCTAAGATGCAAAATACATATGTCGTTATACTTATAATGATGAATACATAATACCGTTAAAGTAAAAATCAAATGTCAAATTACAAATGTTTTTTGGAAAAAATCCACTAATGTTGCAAAGAACACAACATTTTTACATATACACTTCAATAAAGCAACTTTGCAAAATGACATTTGTCTTTTGTCTTCTAACGTATCTTGGGTTCTTGAGGTCAAAGGTCATAGGGTCACAAGTAAAATTGTTAAAATGAATGCTCCCATGAAGGAAAGATAAGCTTGTCGTCGTCTGCTTATTTAACAAGCTTGTCGTTGTCTGCTTAGTGACCTTCTGGACACTATGTTGTATGGATTTTGACTTTACCGCTTACTTGTTATTATCAATTAATGGAATCTTGCGTCAATTTAAATGTACGCAAACTGTATATTTGGAAAGATTAAATATATTAAATGATTATTATGTACGATAACCTTTTGAAATAAAATTTAAATTTTACTTTGATTTTGTATCTGTTCTTTGTTGTAAATAGTTATTAAGCATGTAAGGAGCTCATTTCATGAAAACAAAACGATTAGTCCATTTAATGAAACGTTCTTTAATTTAGAAAGTAATTACAATGATTGATTTTAAAATTGGTTCATTCAACAATGTTTTAAAGTTTTTACTGCCTGCCAGCAATCAAAAATTTAAAATAACAAGAGATGGAAAACGTTTCATATCCCATCCCATATACTTACCTATGCCTATTATAGTGAATAATGAGAAAAGATCTGATTCTGATTTAATATTTAATTTCATTTATTTATTTACTCAAGTGCAGTTTACGAAAGTTATCCGAAATATGAAACACCAATACCATAACTCCCCCAGGAATCTGTAATTTACTGACTTTACACAGGCCAACGACAATGGTATTTAAACAAAGATATGACAGCAAAAAAAATAAGAGAAATGAAATGGGATTTAACGTCCTAATTTTCTGCTCCTAATGAATAATAAATGCCTATACATTCTGACAGTCAGCACGCCTGACCCTGATGGAAAGATCCGTCTTTAATGTTAAAATAATTTTATATAGCCTACATTTAATTTAAACTTGTGTTAGCCCAAGTCACACATGACACAATTCGGTATTTATCAAAAAGTATATTTACATTAAATTAAATTTCTTCTAAATATGTTCAATCTAGATGAAGGATTATTTTGTGTGAAGTTTATAATTAATATGACTATATAGGCTAGGTGTATTAACATTAGCTAGTCTACAGTTAAAACCGAATTGAAATATATTGGGGTATATAATGTCCCACAAACTTCGTTTGTAAGAATGATTAACAGTAATCTTAATAATGGATGGCACCTTGTTTAGATTATACATATTTGAACTATATAGTTAGCCTATCTAATATCAACATCATGACTGACAAGTCTCCAGATACTAAAAGAGGGTCCAGCCTATATCCGTTCTTTCCTTCTTAGGAGCATTCATTTTAACAATTTTACATGTTACCCGATGTCCTTTGACCCCCAGAACTCAAGATGCGCAAAAAGACAAAAGACAAATGTCATTTTGCAAAGTTGCTTTGTTGAAGTGTATATGTGAAAATGTTGTGTTCTTTGCAACATTAGTGGATTTTTTCCAAAAAACATTTGTAATTTGACATTTGACTTTTACTTTAACGGTATTATGTATTCATCATTATAAGTATAACGACATGTGTATTTTGCATCTTAGGTATTAGGTATTTTCTATGATGTATATAACACTTTCAACTTACATTTAGTTTTGGCCCTTAAATCCCGCCATAATATATTCGAACGTTTTTGTATATAGGAACCACAAGCTAAAAGCGTGATTTTTCGTAAAATCAGGGGCCCTAATTTAGGAAGTTACAATCCGATATGCGTGAATATCGAAAGGAACCAAGATATTTGGGATATAAACATGCATTCCAAGTTTCATCAAAATCGGATGAAATTTGTGACCTCTAGAGGGTCCACAACCTTGATATTCCATATTTTACATTATTTGCGTACAAGGGGCGGCCATTTTGTTCGGCAGTTTTGGTCCGATTTTCACGAAATTCCAACCCAACCATCAATAGGGATAAACGGTGATTTATTAAAACATTTTTTTTTTTCAAATTGGATAAAAATTGTGACCTCTAGAGGGACCACAATCTAAAAACGCGATTTTTCGTACAATCAGGGGCCATAATTCAGTAAGTTACGATCCGATATGTGCGAATTTTGAAAGGAACCAAGATCTTTGGGTTATAAACATGCATTTTAAGTTTCATCAAAATCGGATCAAAATTGTGACCTCTATAGTGCCCACAACCTTGATATACCATACTTTTACACTATTTGCGTACAATGGGCGGCCATTATATCCGTCAGTTTTTTTCCGATTTTCACGAAATTTGAAGTCAACCATCATTAGTGTATAACTGTGATGTATTCACACGTTTTTTTTAAATTGGATAAAAATTGTGACCTCTAGAGGGACCACAAGCTAAAAACGCGATTTTTCGTACAATCAGGGGCCATAATTCAGGAAGTTACGATCTGATATGTGCGAATATCGAAAGGAACCAAGAACCTTGGGTTATAAACATGCTTTACAAGTGTCATCAAAATCGGATCAAAACTTTGACCGCTAGGAGGTCCACAACCTCTTGATATACCAGATGTTCCCACAATTTGCAGATAAGGGGCGGGCATTTTGTCCGACAGTTTTGGTCCGATTTTCACTAAATTCGAACTACAACATCATTAGGGTGCAACGGTGATATACTAAAACGTTTTTTTTTTTAAAATCGGATAAAAATTATGACCTGTATAGGGTCAACAAGCTAAAAATGCGATTTTTCCTACAATCAAGGGCCATAATTCAGGAAATTACAATTCGATAAGCGCAAATATCGAAAGGAACAGAGATCTTTGGGTTATAAACTTACATTTCAAGTTTCAACAAAATCAGATAATAATTACCAGCGACTGCCAGGCAGGATACGCCCACATTTTCGAGAGATGAATAGAGAACAAGCTAAAAAGAAAGCGATTTTGAGTACAATCAGGGCCCATAATTCAGGAAGTTACGGTCCGATATGCACGAATATCGAAAGGAACCGAGATCTTTGGCTTATAAACTTACATTTTAAGTTTCAACAAAATCGGATAAAAATTGTGACATCTATAGGGTCCACAACCTTGATATACCATATTTTTAGGCTATTTGAGAACGAACGGCGGCCATTTTGTCTGTCAGTTTTGGGCCGATTTTCACGAAATTCGAACTCATTCGGCCTTAGGGCGTAACGGTGATATAATAATACGGTTTTGTAAATCGGATAAAAATTATGACCTCTATAGGGTCCACAAGCTAAAAACGTGATTTTTCGTACAATCAGAAGCCATAATTCAGGACGTCACGGTCCGATATGCGCGAATATCGAAAGGAACCAAGATCTTTGGGTTTGGGTTTTAAACTTATATTTCAAGTTTCAACAAAATTGGATTAAAATTGTGACCTCTATAGGGGTCCACAACCTTGATATACCATATTTTTACACTATTTGAGAACGAAGGGCGGCCATTTTGTCTGTCAGTTTTGGGTCGATTTTCACGAAATTCGAACTCAGCCGTCCTTAGGGTGTAACGGTGATATAATAATACGTTTTTTTAAATC